CCCTCCCCTCACCTCCCCGCCCCCCATCGATGCGTGCCGCGGGAGGGTCAGAGGGCAGCCCCATCTGCAGGCCGCCGAGCCCCGCCGCGCGTGGGTGGGGAGGTTCGTTCAAAAACTGTTCTTTGCTCCGAGAACGTGTGGGCGCGCGGCGGTGACGTCAGCCTGCAGCCCGGTCCTCGGCCCCGCCCCCCAGCCAGCCCCGGCCCACGACGGCCCGCCTCAGCGCTCCGCGGGGCTCAGGTTGGCGTCCGCGCCGGCCTCGCCGGAGCTCCGCTTGCCGATGCCGAAGTTGTACTGCATGCTTCTCCTGCCCAGGCCGAAGCCGTACTGCCGGGTGGGTCCGCGCTTGGCGTTGCTCGCGTCGTAGGCGCGCTTGCCCAGCCCGAAGCCGTACTGCCGGCTCGCGCGGCCCGCCCGCTCGAGCGCGTCCGTGTCCGCGTCCACCATGTCCTCCAGCTCCAGCACGTCCCCGTCGTCCAGGGCGCCGTCCACCAGCGCGTCGACCATCCGCTTGCCGAGGCCGAAGCCATACTGCATGGAGGCGGCGCGCTTGGTGCGGGCGCCGTGCTCACCTGCGGACACAGCAAGGGAAGGCGTGGGTTGGGGTTGGGGCTGCCTTACACACACTGCTCTGCGCATCGCCCCGCATGCCTGGGCTACTTTAATTTTTCTAAACCCGGCGCGACGGGTCATTTGTTCTGTAGGGCTTTGTGATGTAGGCTAAGGCACACGCCCGCCCAGTTGGGGTTAGTGGCTTATTTACATGGTCCGCCCGGGCAGTTGCAGCCGGCCTGAGCGCCGCCTCCAACCATTATTACTTGTGGAGGGCGGGGCCGGCGCCCGGGGCCCGGCTCGACGGCCGTTTCGGGGGCGATGCGAGACGCCCAGCGTCCACTGGACAGATTCGCAGAAGTGCGCTGCTTTCGCTAGTTCGAGGTGCTTGCATCTACGTCACAATGTAAATTTTCCCGGGTAAAATGTTGGAAATATTTCAACACATGACATTTTGTTTTCGGTTTTATTGATACTTTTCAATTACAACTTTCCGTGCTAGACGCGGATAAATTCCAGTTTGTTTTTACATCTCTAGCTGCAGTCCGCGCCGCCCTCAAGTCCCGCCCTCACTGCCGACTCGTACCTGGTGCCGAGTGCGCCTCCTGGTGCTGCTGCTGGTGATGGTCGTGCTCCGCGTGCTCCGCCGCCACCTCCCGCAGCTCCTGGGGCGCCACCTCCCGCTTGCCGACGCTGTCCGCGCCGCCCGTCTGCCAGTCCTGCTCGGTCGCCTGCTCGACTGCCTCCGGCAGCTCGTCGGACCTGCGGGGGCGTCAAAGAACACGATGCAGGCGAAGGACACAGAGAACGACGGTTGAGGGCGCGGGCGTATTTGACAAGGCCGATGGCCGGGTTGTGGGTTGTGGGCGTCATGGAAGGTAGGTGGGTTAGGTGGGAGTGGGTTACGCGGTCGGTCGATCTAACCGAATTGTGCCTCTCCAGTACCGATGTGTGTGTTCTTTTCTTCTCGCCGTACCGCCTGATCGTGCTCAAGCCCCCGCCAAGCTGGAGCGACCGCTATGTACCCCCGACCGCAACGCCCCGCCCCTCCCCGCCCCG